GGTAGAACTAACGAACATTCACAAATCTTAGTTCTAATTCCTCGAATATAACAAGTATATCTTAAATCGTACTAAAAATAATTAATAGGATAGGGCAACAGTGGAAGTAGTCCAAGTTTGGTTTCATACACCTCATTTCCTTCCTCTTGATCTTGTTTTGGCCACCGTTTCTGTTTTAGTTAGTCTTCTTTTTTCAGGTATCTTCGTTTGTGTCAAACGGGTCAACGCTGGATTCTGGATGGGCTCTTGCTAGAGGGACCTTAGAGTTGCTCTCTGAAATCCACATCATGTTGGTGAAAAACCTCCAAGTAAGACTTGCGCTATTGTTTCCCTCATATGTAGCATCCTCTACATCGCTTTATTGAAGGATTTGGCCAAGGAGGTCGCTAAATACAAGGAGGATCTCACAAAAGTTCGCAAGGAAGCAAAGCAGCAAGACATTTTGGATGCTGTCAATCTGATGCAGACTACAACTACATGCCTACAAAAGGTGGGTGTTTGAAGATTCTTATTTTTAGTACACATGTGAAAACTTTAGATGTTGCTTCCTAGTGCTCATTACTTTTTTGCGTTGTATTTTATTTACTACTTATCCTATACTAGTTTTTTAATTCTACTAGTAATCAGCTTCGGAAGTCTATTCCATTTGGATTGCTAGTGTTCGCTGGAAGATTATGTCTTATTCTAACTGAGATCTTTTGCAGTCGAAAGGAAACATATTATGCCCGGTGCGCTGAATTGGAAAAACTAAAGAAGGAGGCAAATGTCAATCCCAAAGAGGTTGCAAAGGTTTGTTGTTTCTGACGCGTATTCATGTCGATTTGTATTTTGGTGTTTGGCATTATGATAGTACGTGACTTGGCACCCATTGCGTTCAAACTACAATTCAAATGCCGCAGCGAAAACTCTGCCGCGCGACTCAAACTCACGACAACTCACAGTTGCAGTGCGGCTGAGGTAGTGCATTCTCATGGCAGAGCTGGGCACCGTTAGATCATGCACAAATTTCGCTGATTTGATGAATTCCCAGATCCCTGACTCTCTGAATTCCAAAGTATTCAAGTCGCTTGTTCTATCGATTCTTTTGAAAGGTCATATGGTTACCGATGCCGCGCTGTTCTAGGGCCTTATGCAGCAGTTCCAGCCGGGGATGGGTCCTCACTTCCTAGGTGCGTACGGTCCTTAGAGATGCGCTGCTGCAGGCGCACGTTAGTGTTTTCGTTGCATCGTAGTGCAGTAGCGAAAACGTTGTGTTACAAGAGGTGCGACGTCGCATTCTGTCATCCGGTTCACGGGTTACTTGAACTTTCCTCTATGGTCCTGCCACGAATGGCGGAGAGCACAGACAATTAGAGAACGGCGCCTGGCTCGGCTCCAAATCCCAAGGAAGGAGGTGAGAGCCCTAGGACTAAGCCTTGGAGGGGGAGGAACTCCAGGTGGGTGAGCCAATTACAGTGTGGCAAAAGTTTGAATGTGTGAGATCACAGTGGTCATGAGCCGCTGATAAGGCGAGAGAGCGCAGACGAGAGCATCGGATTGAGGCGGCTTAAAGGACCGAGTTCAAGTAGTCCGTCGCCCCTGTCATCCCGCTACACACCCTTTGTATTTGTTATGAAGACAATGTAACTGGGATTATCACTGCACGAACTCTTAGTGGTGGATTTCTTGGTGTGCTTTTACATATATATACAGGGGGGGGGGCAAAAAAAAAAGACATTTTGCCTCCACTTCCAGATGGATTTAAGCACATTTTACTCAACTCAGACCGAACGGTTCCAACTTATTATTAAAGAGTGCATTCCATTCTATAAGAAAATCTTCATAGTGGCCACGTACGTGGACGGCATCAGAAGAATTAGCCCTGGAAACATGGTGCACTGGTCGATCTCAATGGGGTCTTCGAAGGATCGTGTACCATAACGACCCTTACTGGAAAGCTAGTTCCGAGGGGATTTGCACAGTGGTAGCTAATGCCTCTAGAAAACTATCCAACATTAAATCGATTCACGAAATTGCGTAAGAGCTTCAGGCTGAAGCTCTTACGGTAGACCTCCTTGAGCCTGACGACGGTGACAGATGACGTCATATTCTGAAGACGGTGAGGGCAGTGAAGGAGAGCCTGCGTACACTAATAGAGGAACACTTAGGGAATACTCTGCTGAGGAACTCCCGTCAACGACAGCAATCTCTGCGAAGAAAAAAGAGCCGAAGTCCGACATAGGCAAAATGTCTTTTTTTTTGGCCCCCCCCCTGTATATACCAGTTAGCTCCGCACACTACCGCGTGCATGACACGGAAGGGCTCCGTAAAGCTGGCCAGCCGGAGGAGCGTTAGGTTCTGCCGCTAAACAATAACTTTCTTCGTGAAATGCGTTAGCTGGCCTTCTACAGAATGCCCATTTTTAACCAACCGTCTGATACGCGCGGTGGAGTGCGGAGCTACAGTGGTGTCTGTAAACAGCCACCATGCATTGGATGTCAGGATGATTTAGCGGTCGAATAATATTGATGCCAATGATTTTGCAATAAATACCCAATATCGTATATCGCTAAATCCATCATACATTCTTAGGGATTTTGGGAATATAGCGGTCGAACGGTATTTTATGTTGATGACAACAACGCAATGAGATGATTCTGAAGTGAAATGCGTTATCTAGAACCACGGTTTTAAGCGATCCATATGTTCCCACGTGATTATCGGCCCTTATCACCTCCTGTACCTCACCGTACATGTTCCCGTCGCACTCTGTACATCACTTCTTGGAACCAACGCCCACTGCTGCTGGGACGCGCGCTATGAAATTTCATGAAATTTGTATTCAGCGCCTCTTATCAACCATTATCAGCCCTTATCACTTCCTGTACCCCACCAAATATGTTCCCGTCCCACGCTGTACATCACTTCTTGGAACCAACGCCCCACCACTGCTGGGACACGCGCTATGAATATCATGAAATTGGCGTTTTGGCGCCTCTTATCAGATCTTATCAGTCGGTATCACTTTATAAACCCCACCAAATATGTTGCCGTCCCACCCCCTACACCATACTCAAAATACAGCGTTCCATGCCTGCAGCGAAGCGCGCTATGAATTTCGTGACAGACGGACGTACGTACAGACACACACACACACACAGACAGACATACTTAGCGAATTATATATAGTAGGATCCTTCACATATGGTCGATACATATGGAAGCTTTTGGCGTGGAGTGTTCGTCACAGCGGAACGGGCGTTTATGTGATATACACTCGGCAACATCGCTGACATTTCATCAACTAGCAGGGAGTGGATCGAAATAGACTCTGCTTGAGAATCCCACTAACCACAAAGCAGAACTTTTCTCTCGCTAACTTTTGGAATCTTTCTGAACTGATTTCGCCGCGTTAGGTGGCGATGTTAGTATATGCTTGACCCCACCACTCGCCTTCGGCCACGATATCTTCAGAATGCCTCTTCTTGCAGGGCCGGTTAAGACAGTTGTCTGGTATGCAACTCGATGTTTAACCATAAGTCAAGTGGTTCGTGTGTTATCTATCTCGAGACTACCTCATGGTGCTCCTTGACGCTGAAATAGTTAGCAATTGTTTTTTGGTCATATCCATGTTCCATGGAAACTCAAGAGTACTTGCACAGTCCCGTGTGAGATGTCACTGTGAGTTGGGACTTCCACAACAGTAGTGCGTTCAGACGGATGGCAATCTCCAGAATTCGTCTGACCAAAACCAGTTGTGTACCTTTGGTGGGATTCGACGTCTTCTTGAACGCAGCATATGTATATTGACTATAGCGGTTGTTGACAGTGAACTGCAGAAACTCGCGATGGACTACAGTTCCCAAACAGCTCCAGTCTGTTGAGGTTATGGTGGATTCACACAGATTAGCGTTCGTTTATAGTACGCCTTATAGACAAGCTTGGAGAGCTTTCTACCATATTTTGGTTTGGTATATTACTACAAACTGTTTTATTCAACCTAATACATTTTCTCAAGCGTTGAAGGGCATATTCACTAACGCACCGGCGTTGCACCAGATGCGTTCTCCTATAAAAGCGAATTTTATACAGGCAATATGACGCCTTCAGAAAGGTAACCACACACTAGTTTATCTGAAGGTGGTTTTTCTAGAGGCTCCGATTTCGCGTACAGTTGAGTTAATGTATCGAATGGTCATCGCAGTCGGACAATATTTCCCCTCTTTGAGAATCTCAATTTCTAGTCTAATAAACCTTCCTTACAGATGGAATCGAAGATGTTCAAGTCCAGGGAAGAGTACAGATCGTATGTTGACAAGTATGAGACGGTACGAAACGATTTCGAAGAAAAGATGGAACGTGCTTGTAAGATGTTCCAAGCTCATGACAGGTATGCCCTTACTGTTTTCGTTTTGGCGTTCACTTAGTTGGATGTGCACTCTGTTCTCTTGCAGATCGCACTTTGCTGCTCTACAGCAGTTTTTGTTGATGTATGCCGGGCACCAACAAGAGGCTACTTGTGCGGCTCAACAAGTTTGTTTTATTATTTCTGTGACACTTCGCGGGTAACGGACTATGTGCTATAGGAAGTTTTTTGAAGGTAGCTGGTCAGTTTCGAGAATCCTTACAGCAGCTCAGTGTGGATGAAATGGTGGCACGCTTCGTTCGAAACAAGGGCACAGGAGCCGAAAGACCGCGTAGGAATTCCACTCTTTCCCTAATTTCATTCAAATCTCTGGGAGATTCAGTGTAGAATTTGAAGTTAGTGTACTAGGATTGACCGGATCTTTTTAGAACCTGCTGTTTTTGAAGAGCCAGCGGACTACTGCGTCACATCTGATGATGAGATTCATCGTCGGCCAAGTGGCTCAATGCCTTCCTCTAGCTGTTCATCTGGTGTAGTGCCTTCAAATCCTCCTCCAGCTCCTCCGACTGCGGACGGTTTACTATCACTGGATTCTATTGATGCTTGGGATAATAGAGAAACGGTAAGGTCATGATATCAGTTTCAACTCTCATTGTTTTCTTCTTGTCCCAAGTCTGCGTCACGGTTGTGCTGCTGTTTCTTGGTTTAAGATTCATGCACCCAAACGCGCGCTTTGATCACATCAAGGAACCCATCTGAAAAACCTACTATTTGTCTTCACTAAGTCCTCTGTCTTTGTACCGCCTCTGGAAGCTTGCAACTTTTTGATTTCTACCTGTCCGATCTCGGCGTGCGTACAGCTCACCACAACCTTCCAACTTTCTTCCGCTTGTTTCATTGTTAAAACTCGCATCTTTTTTCTCAGGGCAGGGTCATGAAAAAGGGTAATCTTGTAACAAGCACTGTCAACCTAGAGGCGCTCCAGACGTGGTGAGTAGGTCTCCCACACACAGGCATGCACATTTCAGCTTGTATTTTGCTCAACTCCACTCAATTCCGCAGATTTCTGCTTTCTGCAATGCTCATTTGGGACCGATATATGAGTTTTGTGGAAGGCGTCGCCTATACAAAGTAAAAGGCAATCACCGGGGTACATCATCTTCATCTCCTCTACAAAGCCCGCTACTCATTTTTAGATTTCTGTTACTTTCTTTCATCTGTTTCGAGCAGAGATTTGCTTCTAAAAGCTTTCTTTTTGGTTTAGTTTGTTCGCTTGTTTCATCCTGATTCAAACCAATCACAAACTTGCCCTCCCCCTTCCGGTGATTGCTTAGGTAATGCCTAACTTCGTCAACCACAGCCGTTTTCAAAATTGCACTCGTAGCACCTAGGAACTATGTAGTGAGGGTGCTAAAAAACAAGGAAGGGTTCGGTTTCTTTTTGCGGAAATTAGTAAATACAATTTGAAAGTCAAATTTGGTAACTTGTCGAACATAATATTGAAGCTGTGAATATCCATAGTTTTTCCTGCTTAGGTTGTGCTATTTTAGCATGTGCAGCCATCTCCCCAACTGCATCTCATAGCAGCGATTCCACTACCGGTACCGTGCCTGCCGTCGCCCCATTTTCTTCTTCATGAGCACAGAGCTCTTGGAAGACAAAAACTTTCTTTATTCCTTCCAAAACGGAAGAAGACTATTTCGCAAAGCAGTGCCAATGACGAACACGAGGCAACAGGAGGTAGGAATGCTGTGCTTCTCCATATAAATTCATAACAGTTTTGTTAAAGGTGCTTATTCTAATGAATTCTTTTATGCTACTTCTAAAACTTCAGAAGGAATTTTTTAATGCGTCTTCATAAGACGTTGGATCCGAAACTTAAAAGGAAGGCTGATCTTGTGAGAGATAATTAGTGGCTGGCTTTTCAATCTTGATTTCATAAATGCCTCCTTATTTCGGCGTTCTAAGCTGGTGAACTATGTTTTGTGCGACAATTGTGTAATGGTAAAACAACTACTAACGTAAACGCCGACTTACCTTCTGGTTCAAATCTATGTATTTTGATAAAGTGATCAGGAGTCATTCTTCTTCGTTAATCGGTCCACTGCTTTCCTTTCTAATATCTTTTTCTGCCTCTAATTGTTGTTGCGCAAATGCATACCATGGGAGAATCGTCAGTCTCGTGCTATATATGAAAGTTCTCCTTGCGCTATTCTTTTTGTCACTTGTAATTTTAATTTTGTCTTGATTGATCTAGCCATCATAGTGGATAGCAAGTCCAAGTCTCAAAACCTCGTTTTTTCACTCGAACACATCCATTGTTCTGGCAGCATATCCATGAATGGCTACACTGACCTCGCTCGCGTTCACGTTCACATGGGCCGCAGGTTTTACTAATACTTGAATTATGTATTTATTAATCGATATTCTACATAGTGAGTGACCTGCACAGGTCGTTGGGACTTTGAAAAAATTTTATGACTCCCCCTCCTTCATGAGAGATATACGACCCCTTCTTCATAACTTCTTTTTTTCCCTCGAAAACATCGTCGAGCGGAGGTATATAATTAGTCATTGAAACCGCAAAAATCCTAATTTCTTACCTTCTTCATTTCCGTCCATATTACACATATATTCCATGCAACAGTTTCTAAATTAAGTTATATTATCCAATGAAAAGCTATTTCCTCACGTCTCCTTTTTCTCTTATTTCCTGTCCCAACGTTAGGGTGACCTGCTGCACTATTGATTTGATGATGGGTGCTAAATAGAGTTATGGTGAACTCGGAGTTGTACTGTTGCTTCTTACTATTCATCACTCTTTATGGATAGTTGTCTCATCTCATCATTTTTTCAAGTAGTTTTGATTTTATATCAGAAGAGTAGGGACATAGGATCACAGGTTTGGTCGTTGTGTGGGTACTGAAATTCATCGTAAGTTCTAGCTTTGACAATCCCACGGACAAGCGTCGATACTATAGTGCCCTATATTACCCCAGTTCCACGGATTAAGGTGAATTCCTTTTGAAGTTTTCGTCGTTGAAAAGGCGGCGATTTCGAAAACTAGGTGATGAATAAATTAAAAACAGAAGTGTCAAGTGGTGCGGTAGTGAAAAAGAAGTCTGACTAAACAGTCAAAGACTAAAGAACTGTGATCATCACTCTGCCCGTTGACTTTGGGCGAGTCTACGACTTACGAGCTATCCGCTTATATGAATGCGCCCGCTTTAGTAGGTGGGGGGGGTCCGACAAGATTACAAGACACCACTGTTTGATGGGAAGTGCGCAGTTAACATAGAAATCAGACATTAATGACAATATTATCACGAATTCACCGCGATTAACCACGCTTGAGACGGGCGATTCCGAGGGAGGCGGGCCGGTTTGGGGTTTCAGCTCAAATGCGTTGCAACTAGCGCACTTTTCGCTGCCACAACCTATGCATCCTTTCCTTTTGCCGCCTGGCTAACGCTTCCGCTATTGGTTCACCCCCACAGGAACTTCTCTGGCACGGGTCCTTTTCTCTGCACCCGCCGTTTTTTCTGTGGGAGTAGAGCTTGGCTATAGCATCCGCTAGGCGTAAAAACACCTGGCGGGTACTCCGGACACGGTTAATCTGAGCGCTACAGTCGCCGAGCCTAAACGAAATGCGATAGCACTGGACGCCTGTGGCGCTCAAAACTCTTTGGGGCAAATTTGCAGCTAAATTGTACACGTGAGAAATTTCGAGAAAAATGCACTCAATTCTGGCAGTGGGGCAACGAAGGGTAATAACGCCGGAGTTCTTATCCACAGGCTCTTGGAGCTCCTCCTCTGCTACTTGCTATTGCATAGGTCGACTTCATTTCACTACCCCTAAGAAAATGCTGTTATGATAAGCGCCGAGAAAAGTAGCCAATAGCCAATTCTTCCTCAGTGTGTTCCTATGGTGAGTTCCGATTATTGAATAGGACCGGTACCTATTCTGTAATATTTGCCCGTCACGTAACAGATTTGGAGGCGCCTGAATCAAGTTTTCTGTGATGTTGCAAGCTCATAAATTTCGGTGCCCATAAAATCGTTGCTCTATTGGATAAAAAGTGAAATCATTATATGGAAATCTACCCTTGTAATGTTCTGGTAGAGCATCTCTGCTGTCTTCTCACAGCTGCCACTTATTGTCACCGAGTATAACGTGGCCCGAGGGAATCTTACTGTAATGAAAAAAAAACTTCGGTGGGGAAACTACACAAGGTTTCGTCGCCGCTTCGCGCGACTTTCTGTAATGATGAGAAGTTGTTTGTTTTTGAACTTTGATACACCGGCTGTTTACTATGCCAACTTCCCAATCGTGCTAGATTGCTCCTTGATGTTTCTGGCGTCTGATTAATAAGTCTTTCTCGGTGGAAACTGCCGCATTACTAAGATTAGGATTTATTTTGGGTTGTAAACGGCTGGTGCCATGAACGAGTCGTTGGGTTGATTATACGGTATAACGTCGCTGTTGGATCAGTAGAAGAACTGGCCATTCTTTACCTGATGTCAAATATTGCGGCAATTTGCGCTCATCAGATGCCATACCCTTGTATCTACGGTTGCGAACAAAGTATTTGTCTGTTTAACACTTTTTCAATTTTTTTTTTGGATTTCAAAAGATTGAGCGACATTTGAGGGCGCTGGTTGGCGCGAGTCTCAGTTGCAGGCCTATACACCGCGGTTCGCTTCATGGGAGACGCGGCTTTGCCGTCGTTTTATACCTCTTGTACGTCCTCGCTTGTTTGGGTCGGCGTACGCGCTTCTTCCAATTGTTTAGTTACTTATTTGTAGATCATTCGTATCTAGCTGTAAGTCGTTGTGTCCCATGAAGAATGGTTGTCAGATATGCGTGAAACACAGCTGACCCTACGCTTGTGTGCTCGGCGCATCTTGGGCAGATTGCGAGGGGGAGGCTAAGTCGATCGTGAGCATCTGCGCGAGGGCTTGGCTCTGAGCATTCCTAAGAGGAACGATGTGTTAAAATGCGCACATTGCCAATTTTTCACACATTTTCTTACGTGAATTTTACTCACTTCCAGTAATCAACCCTAAAACTGGACTATTCCTATTGTGTGACGAGTGCCGTATTTTGAGCTAAAGTGTTATTCGTCTCCTCAGCTAAGAGGGCGGTCGACATGCTGATCGCTGAACTGAACCCTCCTCCAACTCGATTGCACTCTGGTTTCGTGCATATTCAGTAGTTTGCAGTTCCGAAAAAACGCCCTTGGTTGCGAACAATGATGAAGGCAGGGATTGCGCGTCTCAGAGATTCGAGCTACCAAACTGCGATGTGCCTGTGCACGTTGCCAAAAAAACAAAGACTGAGCATGCTGTCGAGCGGTCCGTCATGGGTTATTCTATCCTTTTTGTTTACAATCTGCTGACGTCGTTTAATATCTATGTGCTTACATGTCAACCACTTTGTCTGTTCAACGCATACAGAAAAGTTCTGATGCTCTTCTCCAAAACAATGCGATACGAGTGAGAAAGGAGGCAACTCATTTTGAGTTGCGAGTTGGTCGTCCTAATTTATTTCGTTATCAAAATGGGATATTAAAGGCCCGGATAAGGTGCAGTCGATAATAGCGTCGACAGGGAATACATCATCGAATCAAAGCGGAATTTACGCTCAAAGAGAGGAAGAAGAGTTAGCACCATAAATCGTCTACTCGTATGGAATTTGGCAGAAAAAAGAATAATTCTTTAGAAAGATTTTTCCAACTAATACTATTGTCATGAGCATTATTTCGAGGGGCTACGATTAAGGGAGATTAGGTGGCGATATGTGACGGCGTCCTATTACGCACATGATCCGAGTGGGAATCGCTGATGACCTTTTCGCCTTGGTTAGCCGAAACTATGTTTCCTTTGATTCAAGGTAGACTGGGTAGGAAGACCGATGGTGCGCGATGGTATCTTGAGAAGATATAAATTGGCTTGATATCTTAATTGTGGCTGTCAACCTATTAGAACCTTCTAATTGTAAGTAGATTGATGTCAACGTGCGGCCCTAGCTGAAAATCGAGGACTTTACTCCAGTGTTCGGGCGTACAATTTGACTCGTGGTTTATCAAGTAAACGAAAAGCGTCATGGTAACAGGAAAGTGTGCTATCGCTCATTCTCGCAAATCGTTGAAAAACGCACCTTGGTTGGACAATGAGACGCGGTTGCGCGTCTCAGAGATCGAGCCCGCCAAACTGCCCATGTCCCACGTTGCCAAAAAAGCCAAAACTCGCAATTGTCGTCAATGTGTTAATTCTATCTTTTTTGTTTACAACTCCTGACCGGTCATATATCTACCATGAGTGTCCACCACTTGTCTTCAACGCTCAGAAAATTTCTGATGCTCCTTCTTCCAAAACCCAGCGGAGTGGGTCGAGAAAGGAGGCGACCTCACTTTCGAGTTGGAGTTGATCGTCTGATTATTTCGTTATCAAGATGATGATTAAAGGTCCAGGATAGGTGCAGCCATTTATCGACCAGGGAATTACGCAAAGAGAGGAAAGAATTAGTCATAAAGTCATGTTACCTATGAATTGTTCAGAAAAAAAGAAAGTTTTAGAAAGAGTGTCGCAGAACTTTCTTTCCAAACCTAATACTATCGTGAGCATTATCAGAGGGGCTCTACAAAAGGGAGATTAGGTGGCGCATGTGACGCGTTACCCATTACTCATTATCCGCGAGGGCATCTGAATCGACCTCGCCTTGGTCCAGGCCGAAGCCAGAAAACCTTTGATTTCAAGTCTGGTTGATAGAAACGTTTGAAGAGAGATAAAAACTGCATGCATATCTAATGTCCTAGTCAAACCTATACGAACCTTGAGTCAGTCAA